CGCGGTCCCCTCGGTGGTGACGTGGCGTGCGGGCTGGGTTGGGGGGGGGGGACTGACGTCGGCACCGCTGGCCACCGCTGCCCTGAGGGCTCTTGGTCTTCCCGCGCGGCCCGCCCCGCCTTGCCCGAACGGGCGCCCGCAGCCGCACTTACATCGGAGGCTTTCTTCTCCGCTAGCTCTAGCTTCTCCTGTGCATCCTTCAGGTCCTCCGAGTGCTTGTCCAGCTCGTCCTCCGTGCCCTTCAGTTTCCTCTGGAGGTGTGTCAGCTCCTCTTCCACCTGGGGACACAGAGGAGGACAAGTCAGCTTAAGGAATTGGGCCTCAGTTTCCTTATCCTTAAAGTATGGACGTAGTTGTGCACGCTTGTCGCCCAGAAAGTGTTTGGGAGACTGAGGCAGAGGGATCGGGAGTTTGAGGCCCTGCCAAGAAACATAAAGCCTTTATGAGCTGGTGAGATGGCTCAGCAGGTAAAGGCGCTTGCCACCACCCAGAGGCCATCCACAGAACCCACTCCCACAGGCTGCCCTCTGACCTCACACACGCGCCCCCCACATTAATGTAGAAAGTAAAAAATATATGTGGATAGATCTCTTACAGAGAACAACACAGGTTTTATTCCCAGCTACTGTTCCAGGGGATCCAACACCCTCATCTAGCCTCCATGACACCACCGCACAGGCATGCATGCAGATAAAACACTTGCACACATAAAATAAAAATAAATCATACACACATTTCAGTAATTGTGCACTACTGACTTCTTGGACTCACAGCATCCCAACTCTTGAGGAAGTCAGAGCCTCCCTTTGCTTGTAAACACTACAAATTCCATCCTGCATTTCCGTTTTCGGACTACAGCTTCCAGGTGATCGCTGTTTAAGCAAAGTGGAGCCTCTGGGGCTCTTGCCGAGTTTGCTGTGCAGCTCGGTCTCCCTGCCGAGAACCTTCTGTTTCCCCATTGCCCTGGAGAGCCCTGAACCTGTTTCTGTGCCTAACTGGGCACTGCTGGAGGAGACTCGCCTTTCAGAGACCAATTCCCTTACAAACTCAGGTTCACTCTCCTCCAATTTTTGCACATTGTGAATCTGCTTTAATTAACATGTCCCTTAACCTTCTCCAGACTCTAGTCTTGTTTGTCCTGAGGATCTGTCCCTCACTTCCCGTTTGAGGCGTTCCATCCATCTCTCTCACAGACGGCTCAGGAAGCCACCCAGCCTCCCTTTCACCTCCTAGCTGCCAGGGCCACTCCTGTGTCTACTCTAGTGGATCTCCTGGTGCAGCCTACTGCTGCACCCCTAATGCTGTACGTGGTGGCTGCCAGCAGGCAGCCTTAACCGGGACACCCTGTTCTGACTCCCTCAAGGGAAGCACAGAGAGTGGCTATCTCCCCTAGGTTACCCAGCGCAGGACTGGAACCCAGTTCTCAAGATGACTTGTTGGGTACTGAATGCGCCCAGCAAGACTGATCGCTGAGGACAGTAAGTGTTAACTAAAATGATAACCAGCTGAACATGCGTTGTGCAAGTGTGTGCACGCTGCACACGCGCGTGCACAAAGCAGGCAAGAGGCCATTAAATGCCGCACACTTTTTTTTCCCTTTTCTTTGTTTTTCAAGACAGGATCTCACTGTGTAACCCTGGTTGTACTGGGACTCACTCTGCAGACCAGGCTGGCCTTGAACTCAGAAGAATTCACCTGCCTCTGCCCCCCAAGAACTGGCATTAAAGGCTGGCTGCTGTCCACTTTTTTTTTTCTATTCTTTTTGAGACAGGGTCTCAGTGTGTGGGTCAGGCTGGCCCTGACCTCTCAGAGATCTGTTGCCTCTCTGCCTCCCTCCAGTGGGGTTAAGACTTTGTTCTCTTCTCTCCTTCCTGGGAGTGCACTGTAAGGGGGGCCACCTGGGAGGCACTCCTCAGTGGGTAGGAATTAAAGCCCACCCTCCAGGGGGGAAGAGCCAGGCCTGACACAGGGGCTCAGCTGAAGTCACCCTGGAGTCACAGATGACACAGCAGAGAGCAGGCTCAGCTCTCTGACATCTGCCCCTATGATGGATGTGTCTGGGCCACTCCATCTTCCATAGCACTTGAGTCTAGAGCCAGGGCCCTGACCCCCAGGCAGAGAGCCTGGAGTCTGGCTCCCAAACCTAGATATGTGACTCCTGGCCCCTTTTCTGGCCTTGGTTTCCCTATCTGCAGAATGGAAACCTTGGTCTGGTGAACTCTGAACACTCTGGGGCAGGAAGCTGACTGACTAAGAGTGAGTCATTTTCCTTAATGATAACTCCCAGAGCAGGGCCAGCCCTCACCCACCCCCATCTTCCTTCTGGACCTGTGGAGTATTTATTGAGCATCTACTGTATACTGTATACGGTATTCTCTCAGTGTGAAACAGATAGGACCCCACTGGACTCAGAGACTGTAAAGAGAGTTTGAGGGGTTTTTGTATGCTTTTAAAGGAGGTGTGTGTGTGTGTGTGTGTGTGTGTGTGTGTGTGTGTGTGTGTGTCTATGTGAACATCTGAGTGCAAGTGCCTGCAGAGGCATTGCATCCTCCGGAGCTGGAGTTACAGGCAGTTGGGAGTTGTTTGGCCCAGGTGCTGGCAGCTGAATTCAGGCCCTCCGAGAGCAGTCAGTGCTGTTAGCCACAGTCCCGTTGCTCCAGAACCCGTTTGTTTTTTGAGGCAGGACACCCTCCAGTTCTCTATGCAGCCGGGGATGAGGTTGAGTTCATGACCCTTCTGCCTCCACCTCCAGAGTGCTGAGGTGACAGGCATGCGTCCCCTCACCTGCCTGGGCCCTTACCGAGTTCCTGATGTTTTGGGAGACAGCATTTGAACAAGAACTTAGACAGACATACAGGCTCACTGAAGCCCCATGTTACAGAGTGGCAAACTGAGTCCCTGAAAGGGGACTGGACTCCAGGGTCACATGGGTAGAACTTGGATGTCAGCTCTGGTTTGAATGTGAGGCTCTGCTGGCCACACCTTTTGCTGTCAGCCCACTTATCCCTAGTGTCCCCAGCCTCCTCCCTCTGGCATCCCGAGTCTGCCACCCTGGGGTTTGCAGCTGAAGTCACCATGGGCCCCAGTATCAGAACACAGCAGGGCGTGTGTATGGTTCACGTGCGGAGGTGGAAGACAGAGGTTAACATCAGGCATCTACTTCTGTTGCTCACAGGAACTGGAGTCCACTAATGTGGTTAGCCTGGCAGGGCAGGGAGCTGCCGATCCCCAGTGCTGGAGTTACAGTCTTGCTCTGCTGTGCTCGGCTCAGGTCCTCATGCTTGTGTGGCGGGCACTTTCCCCTCCCTGCCTTCCGCAGCCCCTCAGGAGTGTGTTAACTGGATTGGTGACACACCCCAAAGCCTCCAGTGGGAGGTGGTGGTCTGAAGAATGAACAACTCCAACAGGAACTGGGTTGTTTTACTTCTGTCTAAATTTCATGCACAAAGTGTGTGGGTGTGCAGCCTTCCCTGGCCAACTACTGTGCTTCGGGCCTCAGTTTCCCTCCCAGTAAAGTGGTCATAGGATACAAAGTTTAGTGAGGTAGAGGCAGGATGCGGGGTCAAAGGACAGCAGTCCCACGGATGTTGCTGCCCTAAGTTGGGAGTGGGCAGGAAACAGCCAGGCCAGTTTTCCATTCTACTTCCACCCTGGACAGGCACAGCCAGGAACCGGATCTGACTGTAGGCCCCCGGTGGGCACAGGGGCAGGGGTTGGTTCCGATGGATCCTGATTGGCTCTCTCTTTCCTCACACAGTGTTACCCTGCAGCCTCCATCACCAGGAAGGAGTGATTCAGCCTTTTCCTCAGCATCCCAAGATTTCACTAAGGGCTCAGAGATGGTGGCCTACAGCCAAGTACAGTGGTGGACACCCGTCATCCCAGCACTTGGGGGGTTCAGATGGGAGGACCGCTGTTGCAGGCCAGCCTGTGCTACATGGTTGGATCATGTGTCAGAAAACCAGACAACACAGTGACTAAAGGGGCTCAGGCACTGGGACACCTGAGTTCAGGCCTGGGCCAACCCATAAAACTGTACTCAGATCTTGCCGGGCAGTGGTGGCGCACGCCTTTAATCCTAGCACTTGGGAGGCAGAGGCAGGCGGATCCTTGTGAGTTCGAGGCCAGCCTGGTCTACAAGAGCTAGTTCCAGGACAGGCTTGATAGCTACAGTGAAACCCTGTCTTGAAAAACAACAAACAAACAAACAAACAAACAAACAAACAAAAAACTGTCCTCAGATCTTCACATGTGCCCTTTCCCAACACAAAACAAATATAAAATGAGAGAGACCTAGGTTTGAACCCAGATCACCCCTAGCAGTTTGCTTGAGAAAAAGACTTGGAAAATGAGGAGGAGGAGGAGGAAGAAGAGGAAGAGGAAGAAGAAGAAGAAGAAGAAGAAGAAGAAGAAGAAGAAGAAGAAGAAGAAGAAGAAGAAGAAGAAGAAGAAGAAGAGAAGTCTGGGAGATGGCTCAGTGGGCAAGACCACTTGCAACACAGACATGACAATCTGAGTTCAAATTCCCAGCACCCATATAAAAACCCAAATATGGCTGCACACGTATTGTGACCCCAGTACCATGTGGGGTAACAGGAGGATCATCCACTTTCACTGACCACCAAGCTAGTCCCAGGGCCAGTGAGAGACCCCGCCTCAGGGGTGCTAGAGCGGGACACCAGGCGTCTTCCTCTGCCACCTGGGATATAGACGTGTGCCCCCCCCCAACACACACACACACACACACACACACACACACACACACACACACAGAAAAATCCAGTGAGAAGCAGGACAAACAGCCACTATTTTGGTCACAGAGCTGGCTGGGGACTGTGAGAATCTTCTCTTTCGAGCACTAGGTTCCCTTGGGAGATTCGCTAGATCAACCCGTCACAATTTAATGAAGAAGAGCTGCAGACTTACTTTTCTATTTCCCAAGCCAAACCCTTCATGGCAAGGACTTGAGGGTTGGGTGAAACATAATGTTCACACACCACACAGATACGGGCAGGCGGTCTAGGACAGGGCCACTATGATTGTCAGGGAGGGCTCCAGGGAAGGAGGAGGGGTGGAGCCGGCCTACACATATGTGTCACACACACAGGCTTCCAGGCAATTCTGGGACAGTGGGGGATGGGGAGGCCTACAGGGGAAGTCAGGCGGGGCAGGATATAACCCAACATTTATTGAGTGCTTACTCCGAGCTTGGCACTGGGCCAAGAGTTTCACCTGCACCGTCACCCATGAGCCTCCATGTGAGCTGGGGAGGTGACTCTGTGATTTCCCCACCTTACAGGGAAGCCACGAAGGCACAGAGAACTGTGCTTGTCCCTGGGCACACAATGATGAAGGCTTCTGTCTGAACTAACCCCTGGTCTGGGAAGGGCTTCGAGTTTGGTGCTACTATCCTGGGGGATCCCTGGGTTTATCTGAGGCTGCAGATGCTTCTGTGGGCTCTCAGGTGACCCTGTGGTGGGTACGCCCTGAGGACAGAATGGGGCACTGCCAGAGTGGGGGGCAGAGTTGCCTTCCTTCCTCCCACTGTGGCTCTGGACACAACATTGGAACAAATGAATTTGCAGTGGCTGCCTGTGAGTGTTGAGCCTGGCTGGTGTTTGCTGTTAACCCCCCTGTGAATGCTGAGCTTCGACAGTGTTTGCTGTCCCCCTCCCCCAGCAGGGAATCCCCCAAGGCCTCCTGGGCATTTGTGCCCCCAACTTCCTGGCGGCTCCAGAGCTGTCTGGGTGGAAGTGATCTCTGGCCTTGTCACAGGGACCCAGAATACAGGGTACTCAATGCTCCTCTCCCTGGAACTCAGACTTGTGGCCACACTGTGGCGGGTCACAGGTCACCTCTCTCCACACACAGCCACTCTCCAGGATGCTGTCACAACTGGGCAATGGCCATGCTGATAAGACCTCATGGACGCAAGTCCAGACACTACAGACCCAGCAAGATATGATCATCCTGTGACTGTGACAGAGGCACACAGACAGACAGACAGACTGACAGACCGTCTTATCTTCCTCACCCCTCGACCCTGTAGAGAGGAAACACGGCATTTGCACACCACACCAAAGTGCACACACATACTGGAGGTGACGCACAGGGAGAGGAGCCTCCACACAGCCACCCTGACTCACACCCTGACCGCCAGGCCAGCTCCTTTCTCGCTTTTTCAGACTTCATACCCAGGGCTCTGGAGACCCAGCCTAAGCCCGGCTTCTGTGCTGTATGAGTGCCCTGGGCCGCTGCCCTCAGCCTCCTAAGAAGAACGGGGCTCCCCTCAGCTTTTCTTTGCTAGAAAACTAAACCTCCTAGAGTCATGGTGCAAGTGTGGAGGTCAGAGGGCAGCTGACTGCAGGCACTTCTCTCCTCCCACTCTGTGGATCCCAGGGACTGAACGCGGGTCATCGTCTTGAGGCAGATCCCTTTACCCCTGAGCCATCTCCCCAACTGGCACCTTGCCTTTCCCTCCCCAGTATCAACCCCCACCCTCCCGGCAGTGCCCAGATCCCCGAGTTCTTGGGATGCTCACTCTCAGGCCCAGCCTGAGACAGGAAGGAATCAGCACAGAGAAGTTACTGGGAAGCCCGGAAGCAGCCCAGCGCGGCACAGGGCTCTTACTTGCTTGCACTTGTCCTCAGCTATCTTCCTGTCTGCCTCGGCCTGTTCAGCCCGGTCAATGGCATTCTCCTTGTCCAGCTTTAGCATCTGCATTTTCTTCTTGATGGCTTCCATGGTTTCTACGTGGTATGGGCACAGGGCTGAGTGAGCCGCCGAGGGTGGAGGACCAGGCCTTCTAGCCTTTGCGTGCGTGCCCGCCCTCCTGCGGGCGAGCCTTGGAAGAGGCCCAAGTCTACTGCCGGGCCAGCCGCCACTCGCTCACTCTCAAGGACTTGGCCAGCTTACCTGCCCAAAGAACTCACCTTATTTGGATCTAGGCTTTACTTATAACGTGGTGACGCAGGTATGGGGCCCACTGAGACGGCGGGCAACAGGCAGGTCTCTGGACATTCTTGTGGGTAGACCTGGCGCAGGGTTGCACCTGGCAGCCTCAGTTTCCCTGGCTCCAGGGAAGAATCAAAGCTTGTGAGTAGGCTCAGCCTTTGCCTCAGCTGTGGAGGGATGCCTCTCCGCATCCCTGACCTGGGAATGCTGCCTATGGATCTTTGGGCCAGTTGTCTCTATTAGGTCCCCAGCCTTCACCTGGCACCGTATCTACTCTCATCTCCCCACACCGTCTCTCCTTCTCTGATTCTTTTCCATTTTCCTTTCTGTCTCTCTTACATTTGCCTCTCCTGTCACAGTGGTTTTCCTCACATGTAGCTCACCAAAGTGAGAAGGCTGATGAGTGAGAACCCATCAGCTGCCATGGGTTATCTCCTACAAACTCTGTCTTCCTTGTTCAGAATCTGCGGTGGCTCCTGAGTACCTCCAAAACAGCAAATGGCCTTAGACCCCCACATTTCTCACCCCTGCCAGTGACCCTAAAAAGCAAGACCCTGGACTCCCGGCCTAGCAACAAAATCTTCTTGGTCCAGACCTAGGCCTAGCCCAGACCTCTCATTCTCTACCCCTTCCCTAATTTGATCTGTGTTCTTGCCACACAGACTCAGTTTCCTTTTGTGACAAAAGCAGACTGGGTTAAATATCTCTTCAGAGTGTCAAGGAAAAAACTTCAGGGGCAGGCCACCTAGGCTCCCAAGGATACAGCCGGCACATCATACCTGCCACAGGCCTAACAGGGAGACACTTTCACTTCGAGACAGGATCTTCCAGTGTAGCCCAGGCTAGCTTGGAACTCATGAGTCTCTCCTCTCGGTCTAGCGGAGTACTGGGGTCGCAGGCCTTCCCATAGCCCTTGCTACACACTACATACTGCATACACTTCACCAGAGTCTGGCGGAGCATTGGGGACGCAGGCCTTTCCACAGCCCTGGCTACACACTACAACACACTACATACACTTCACCAGAGTTTTTGCAGTGCTGTGTGTGAAACTCAGCAAATGTTTCTTTGCCCATTCATGACTTCACGGGGGATTCTAGTCAGGAGTTCTATTTATGGGCCACATGGCAGCCTCCCCTCCCCAGTGCACAGACAGGGACCTGAGGTCCTAGATCCCTCCTGGCCACCCAGCTTCTCAGTGACTCAGCTGACTGGTGCTGGGCTGACATGAGGTCTTTAGCCCCCGCCCACCCCTTTTGGCTGAATCAACCACCTAAAACTGAGTCATCGAAGGTCACCTGGCTCGGTCCCTACTGCCCCTGGTGCCTGCCCACCGCAGGTGCTGTGGCTAATTCCAGGTCTGACAGCAGCGGCTCAGAAAGAGGATTCATTCCGCAGAACCCGTTTTCCTGGGTATGGCCTCACAGAGCAGGCCCTGGTGTCTGGACCTGTCCCTTGCTTAGGGAGCTCCAGGGTGGAACCTGATGCCAGAAGTGGGCTAGGGGGATTGAGCCCCTGTCCCCAGCTGTATCCTCTTTGTCCTCTGCCCTGTAGCCTTAGGGATAAACATGTAGCCTTTCTGTGTCTCTGCCCCAGGGACATTTGGGAAGTCCTGGCTAAGGGTGGAGCAACATTTGGAGTTCCTGGTCCCCGAGGGGAGGTCTGGGATGACTGTCCAGTCTGTGTGCACCCAAGGAAGGGCCAGTTGGAAGATTTCATTTATAGCTCAGAAAGAGTGTAGTCCCCTTTACTTCACTTGAGGATAGACTTAGGACATGAGACTCGAAGTCATTCGTGGAACAGAATTATGATCCAGGCTGGGTCAGCCTTCTCTCTCTCTCTCTGTCTGTCTCTCTGTCTCTCTGTCTCTCTCTCTCTGTCTCTCTCTCTCTGTCTGTCTCTCTGTCTCTCTGTCTCTCTGTCTCTGTCTCTCTCTCTCTCTCTCTCTCTCTCTCTCTCTGCTCCTTTACCCACTGAGCCATCTCTCCAGCTCAGTATGAGGTTTGGGTGACATGGTAGACACAGTGATTCAGTCTTGTGGGGCAAGGCTGACCATTTCAACAGTGCAAACAACTGTCTCAGTTTGGGTGTTGCAGAAGCAATCTTGACACAAGATATCAGGGGTGAATAGTTTATATGGTACGTGATCCAAAGACATAGGAATAGTGAGGCCAGGAGACCTCAACCTTCAATTAAACCAGTTACTACCAAGTTCAATTGGGGTTGCAGTATTACAGCCAGCCTGTTGGGGCGGCAGAGAGCATGTCTTTTCCACCAATGCCTGTTCCTTGTGATCTGGGTCTGGAGGGTGCTGATTGGCCAGTGTTTCTGTGACCAATGGTTTTTGTTTCGTTTTGCTTTTTGTTTTTGAGACCCCCATCTCACTACGCAGCCCAAGTGAACCTGGAACTCTCTATGTAGGCCAGACTGGCCTGAACTCACAGAAATTCACCTGCCTCTACCTTAAATGCTGAGATTAAAGGCTTGTGCCATCATGTGTGGCCCATGTTTTAGTTTTCATGGGACATGGTATTGCTATGCAGCTCAGGCTAGCCCCCATGCATTCTCCTCACTCCTGACTGTTGGGATGATAACACAGGTATGAGCTATCAAGTCAGTTGGTCCCCTGGGTCTCTACATGCCACTTTTGAGATAGGGAAAAGACTCTCTTACGTCGTTTGACCCCATAGTCATCCACCTTGTTCCACCCACTACATATTCATGAAAGGCAGAAGCTAACTGTATCAGCCTTCTCCTGGTGTCATCAAAACCTACTGCCCCACCTCCTTTGCTACCGCCATGGTGAAACGGGCCCAGCACTGTACTTTGGAGCTAACCTAACGCTGCTGGCCACCCTCTTCATCTTCCCTGGCCTCTGGCTTTGCTCTGTACCTAGGGCTATCATCTCATGGGCTCTACCTAACTTCCACATCTGAAAATTGCTCACCCAGGGCCAGTCATCAGGCTTGTAGCAAGTCGGGATTTGAACAGGAGTGTCTGATTTAGAAACTGTGATGCTCCCATTTATTAAGAAGGACCCAAGGGAGTGGCATACTGGATCTGTGGTAGAGCACAGGACTAGCATGTGAACTCCAGGTTCTGTCCCTGGTGTCAGCCCTGGGATTTCATTTCCAGCACTGCTGAGAGGACCAACATAGGTTGTGTGGGTGTGGTCTGATGTCCTTGCAATGCTGAGCAGCACTGTGTGGTTTCGAGAGCTACGAAACAGGCAGGGCCACAGGCTTGGCAGCAAAGTGGGGTAATTAATAATAATTACAGTTAACATTGATTGGCCCCATTGTGCCTACGGCTCTCTGCCAAGCGCCTTCAATTGAATTGCATGCAGTTTTACAATTCTCCCAAGAGACAGATACTGTGTTTTACTTTTAAAAATATAAAAATATGTATGTACTAGTATTTTATGTGTATATGTATGTGTATCTATGTGTAGTTTGTGCATCACATGCATGCAGTGCCCTTGGAGGCCAGAAGAGGGCATCAGATCTCCTAGAACCAGAGTTACAGGTGTCTCTGAGCCACTCAGTGTAGGTGCTGGCACTGAACCCAGGTTTCTGTAGGAGTAGCCATGCTTTTCACAGCTAGTAGCCTACTCAAGTGTCAGAGCTGGGATTTGAACATGGGGTCTTGACTCCAGAGTCCACACACAGAACCACTAGCCAATGCCACAGATAGCCTCTTCTGGTTCAGGGCCAGCTAAGATTATTCACAGTGGACAGTCAAGGGATGTCATTGCTGCTATCAGGGGACAGTTCCATTCATGACTCTAATATCTGGCCCCAGGGGTGTGGCAGCCTGGGTTCCAGCTACCTCCAAGGTTGTTTGCCTATGGAGTATAGCTTCCCCTGTGGAGCAGTGTGTTTGCCTGTGGGGCATAGCCTCCCCTTGTGAAGCAGAAGGCAGGTTTGTTTGGTTGCTGTAGAGATAATAATATTCTTCTTGGACCTGAGGGTGGGGCAGGAATGTCTGCTTCCAACATAAAAGTTGGAATTTACTCTTTTAAAGAATAGTTTTTATTTTTTTCTTTCTGATCTTTGTTTCTCCCTCTCAATTCCTCCCAGAGCCTCTCCACCCACCCAACTCCATTCCTTCTTTCTCTCTTTCTTTAGAAAACAACAACAAAAACAAATAGGCAAACAAAAAAGCAAGCAAACCAGAATAAAAAACAAAATGAAGAAAAAGCACAAGAAACACTCATATACAGTCCCATGAAAACACAAAATTGGAAACCATAATTTACAAACAAAAGACTAGTAAAACAAAACAAAAATAATCAAACAAAGCAGCATGAGTAAAAATTCTGAAAAAATATCATTGAGCTGTTTTCCTGTTGGCTATCTACTGCTGGGCACAGGGCCTCCCTTAAGTGCGGTTTGTGTACCCAGCGAAACCCCCCTGGGAAAAACTAAGTGTTCCCTTGTCAACTGGAGGTAGTTTCTGGGCTAGAAATGGGGTTCATGTTCACTCCCCCTTCAGCACTGGAACTCTATCTGACTTAGACATATCCAGACCCTGTGCAGGGTGGCACAGTCTCTGTGAGTTCTTATCTGCATCTGTCCTGCTGTGTCTGAAAGGCCTTTGGTTTAATTTCCTTGGTGTCCTCCATCCTTTCAGCCTCCTCTTCTGCAGAGCTCTCTGAAGCCTGAGGAGAGAGGTTTGATGAAGACTTTGCATTTAGGGCTGAGTTGCCCCAAGGTCTCTCACTCTCCACACATTGTATAGTTATGGGTCTCTGTGTTAGTTCCCACCCACTCAAGAGAAGGTTTCCTGATGATGGCTAAGCAAGACACTGATCTATAGCTATAGTAGAATGTCA